TTTTTTTTTTTTTTTTTTTTTTAAATCAGACACGATTTTTAACCAAATAATTTCACCGTTTAATAGAGGTTACGTTCTGATATCTGTGCTCACATAGAATAGATCTGTTACTTATTCCCTGAGAGAAGACTCATTGAAGTTGGTGGAGCTTTGTGAGTACCTAAGCCCACTTAAACCCTTTTTGAAAGCTGGCTGGATTCATTACTTTTTCAGAGACTGTTTGGGAAACTTGTTTTCAAAGATTAGGCAATTTTTTTTGTTTTGAATTTGGGAGTCGTCATTCAAGACAGCCAGGCTGCGAGGGGAGCTGGACAGTTCAAAGGCAGCATGGTTTTTCATCTCCCTTTTCAGTCCAGCCCTGGGGTGGAACCTCTTGGCGTTGCAGAAACCAGACAATGGTTTGCAAGAAATGAGTACACGCTCCTTTTCAGGGTGTCTGTAATGTGAAGCAACACCCTAACTGGCACCTTGTACGAGTACTCAGAAGAGAGCCCACAACTGAATGCAATATTCCCATTTTGCCAATCCGCTGGCGAAAGGCCTGATCCAGTACTATGGATGTCACCTGGATTTTTTCCACTGAAGTCAGTAGGTGGCAGATTTATTTCTTAAGGTTGTGATTTTTTTTCAGATGACCTGAAGAGAAATAGATGCCCAAAGTCCATTAGCTTGGGCAGGTCTCTTTTAGAGACCTCCCAAAATCCCAGCCCAAACATGCAGGGTCTTCCTCTAATACAGTTCCCTGGAAAAAGGGGCCCCAATTGCTGCTATTTAACAGAGCTACTTTTCTAGCCTTGGTAGTCGTGGTAAATGCTTTGGTACTGAAGGTCTTGAATTTGGTCCCACTTCACTGCTGCTGGTAGCAAGAGTGAGCATTCAATTATTTTTTCAGCTGTTTCCTTCGACAGAGGAGACCCATCAATAGATGGGAAGCTGGGGGAGGTTTGCACTGCTGTTTTCTCTGTTATGCTATTTTGTTGGTAAATCAAAGCTATCTCTTTTTAATGCTGCCAATCCAATATCTTTTCCTCAAATGTAACATTACATCAGGTTTTTTTAAAAATGCAGGACCAATTCCATAGTCATTAATAGAGCAGACAACTCCCACTGGCTGGCAGAATCGCCAGATCTAATCCCTGGCTCTGAACTATGTGTTCATTGCAGCTGAGAAGTAAGCGTTGCAGTTTTAATCAGCTTCCAAGATGAGCGTTTCTGCCAGTTGCCTTTGCAGAAAGCAGCACATTTGGTTCTTTTTAATGGTTTAATAGATTGACTAATAAAGCACACAATTAAGAGCTGTTTCCATAAATGAAGATGTATGAAAGATCGTGCATGCTCTGGGCAGAA